TACATTTAACTCTTTAATCAATAAATTAACTTCATTTGGCTTGCAAGCTTTATACATTTGTACATCATCAGCATATAGATGTATATTCCAATCATGTGATATAAAATTTAATAAATCAGAAGTATAGAATGTAAATAGTAATGGACCTAATACACTTCCTTGCGGAACACCAGAAACTACATTTTGTAAAGTGGAAATTTTGTTAAATATCTTTGTGCATTGGGATCTGCCAGTCAGGTAGTTGTTGAACCACAGTGAGGCATTACTGGACAAACCATAATATTGTAGCTTTTTACATAATACTTCATGGTTGACCATGTCAAATGCCTTACTGTAATCTAACATCACCAATACGGTCACCATACCATCATCCATGAACTTGACTATATCGTTAGTTACTTTATAAGCGCTGTGGATGTGTTATATAGTTTTCTGAATCCCGACTGTGTATCGGGAAGGACTTCATTTACTTCTAGATGGTCACGAAGTTGGTCAGCTACCACTTTCTCTGCAAGCTTGGACATCACAGGTAAGGTGCTTACTGGTCTCAAATCCTTCATCTGTATAGCGTTATTGACTTTTGCTAGTGGCGTTACAACTGATTTCTTCCATAATGTTGGTACTTCTCCTGTGTTCAGGGATTGATTTATGATATTCGTTATTTCACTTTTGCAAAAAGAAAATACATTTTTCAGCATGCTTGTGGTAATACCATCTATACCAGCAGCATTTGATTTCACTTCTCTCAGTTTCTTTTCAATATCATCAGATGTAACTAGATGGAACGAACTTTTAGTTACGAGTGACTTTTTCTGCCCAGATAAAGCGTTAAGAAATAACTCATCAGGTTGAATGGTTGGCAACGAGTTCACAAAGTGATTGTTGATGGCTTCTGCGTCTTCAATGCCCTGAGATATCTGATTAGTGGATTTTTTATGAATATTCCATTTAGCGAAGTCTTTCCATAGTTGCTTGGGATTATTCCTGTTCTTATTTAGTTGATATTTTATATAAGCTGTTTTTTCATTCCTTAAAGCCACACCTGAGTAATTTCTAAGATCGTTATAAAACAATCGATCTGTTTCAGATCTAGTTCTTTTAAATTTATTGTAAGCTTTTCGTTTTAAATTTATTATACATTTCATTGTATAGGTGATGTATGGCCTGTAGAACTTATGAGGTGTAATTCTTTTCATCAGAGCATGTATGTCATACAGCAAGGTAATGTTCTCAGTAAGATGGAGGACTTTATCATCAAGACTTTGTAGATTATTTATATCATGCCAGTTCACAGCAGTTGCATCCTTAGCAAATTCATCATAATTAAAGTGGGAAAAGTCACGACAATAAAATGTTGTAGGAGTGTATTCTGGAATTTCAATCTTCAATTCACAGAAGCATAACCTGTGATCAGTTATATATCCCATGCCTATAGTGCCACTCTTGCGCACATGCAATGTATTTGATACAAAAATTACATCAATCATTGTAGCTGAATTCTTGGTTATTCTTGTGGGTTCATTAATAATCTGAACGAGATTGAATAATGCCATGGTTTGAAAAAATTGTTTACTAGGATTGGAAGACTTATCGGTGAGGTCAATATTCACATCGCCCATCAGTATAACTTCATCATGGGTAATGAATATAGAAGCAAGGTTATTCTCAAGGCTAGAAAGTAGACTTAATGCAATAGATGGCGGTCTATAGATAACACCTATCGCAATGGTCTTATTATTTAGTTTTAGCGATAACCACATTTGTTCAATGCCATTTGAAGAAATGTTGTTACAATTTACGACTTTAAATTTTATGTTGGTCTGGATGTAAAAACATACTCCACCTCCTCTTTCTTCTCTGTCATTTCTAATCAGCTGGTAATTTGGCAGGGTAATTAAATCCGAAGGAAAATCATGTGTAAGCCAAGTCTCTGTTAGTGCTATAATATGAAGGCTCTGCTCTAGTATAACGTCTGAAAACATATCAAAGCTAGGAATAAGTGATCGAATATTCACATGTGCTACGTTTAGCGTACTACAATTTTTCGTGACGCCTTCACTGTGAGCAATGATTGGACTCTTCGATGAATTTTCTGACTTGTCCTTTGATTGCTATATAGAGTAATTTATGTTGCTTCTTGCTGTTTCAAGCTTCTTCCTCATTACTGTGCAATTTACTTTGTCAAAAGCAGAATGATCAATCTTTAAATTTAACTTAAATTTATTATTAAGCTCCAAGCAATTTGGGCAAGATATATTTGATTTCGTGCATATATCTGCTTTATGTCCTCTCTCACCGCATTTTAAACAGAACATCTGTCCGGTACATTTATTAGCAGTGTGGTTGAAGCCGCTGCAATTGTAGCATCTTAACAAATTAATGTGTTCATATACTGAGCATATCGTTAAATTAATACATAATATTCCGTTTTCCATGATACTATGAAATGTTTTGGGGTCACATTCTATAATGGCAAAATATCGTGTTTTCATTTGCTTTGTTTTAACTACATTTATATATGCATCCCTGTCAATAAACATGTTCTCTTGTTTTATAATGTTAACAAGTTCTGTATTTTCAAACATCTGTTCTATACCTACTATCTTAATCTTAGGTTTTTGTTGATTACTTACGATGTTCACACTGTACGAGCTGCTCAGTTGTTTATTGATTACCTCATTTATTTTCTGAACACCACCTTCATCTGCACACGAAATTTTTAATGTTCCATTTTCGGATTGTTTTACACCTGTAAGTTTCACATTCAACTCAGCAGGTTTTAAAACTTTAGAATATCTTTTTTTGTTTGCATGACTTGTTGTACTTCTTTTGGTTTTATAATAATGCTGTTAGAACTTGTATTTCCCTTTTTCACCACTGAACTATATGACGGTTTCAAAGCTTCTATTCTGTTGATACAAGTATCTTGATCAGCGTTTTCTTCTATCTTACCATTGGTTCTGCAACTGATTGTTGCAATTTTTTCATACAGTAAGGACATTTTTTCGTATAGCTCCTTTATTATTATGTCTTTTGCCAGAATTATTTCATCTTTGGATAGGATGATTTGTTCTTTTGCTTTTATTATGTCATTTAATAATACCTCCTCCTTATTACTGTTACATTGTATTGCTTTTCCATCTTTTTCCTTTTCTTCCTCTCCTTCTGAATGATGTTGATTTTTATTTTTCTTTCTTACACCTTGACTCATATCAAATGCGGTACTGTTTTTTCTTCTATAATGTTCTTTTTCTTGCCTTCAGCCTACTGCTTTGTTCTTAGCGCCCTGCGGATACTGACTCGTGCGACTTTTACAATTTCTGACACAAATGTCACAGAATATATGGGTCAAAATGGTTAAAAACCACTCTGCGGCTCCAGAGTACACCACCAACAGTTCCACGGACGCGATTCTTTCCGATATCGAAGTGAATGCTACTGCTTTAAATTATCTTCAAGTCTTGTGTGAGATATTCAGGTATTTATAGCGATCTAAATGACTGATGTGATCTATACTATCTATATTTGATTAATTATATAACTTGAGACGTGGTCATTGTCTAAATTATTAATTTTTAATCTGTTTTTAACTTGTTCTTGTCATATTTTATATAATTTGACCATTGTACCATCTATCCAGCTCTCACCATGTTACTGGACGTTTCCCTCATCCTATACGTAAACAACAATTAGCAACATCCTCACATACTACTCTCCTGATGATGATGGCAAAGTCCATTGAAAGCTAGAGAGAATTAAAAAAGTATAAAGAGCCCTCTTTGCTTAAATTTTGTCGAAGTACCCAACAAAAGGCGGAAGCTTTAATTTTTCACCTATATATATATATACAGGGTGACTTTGAAGTTGAGTCATTAATTTTCAGATAATGATTGTAGAAGGAATATAAACCAAAATATGTGTGTAAAAATAAAAAAAAAATTAAAAAAAATTTTTTACCTTGTTTTATAAAGTATCCTCCCGACAAGTATTTCAGTGCGGACCTGTATTTGATCGTGAGGTCCCCTGTGAGGTCTTAAGTCACCTGATTCACGAGCCCGTTGTACTACATTAACAAAGGCACGAGGGGTTGGTTGCACTCGATTGGGAAACCGATCCGCATAAACATGTGCCATTTTTTATTTCGTTTGAGCCACGCAACAGATAAAACTATTCACTGACACTTACTGTATACAAATGAATGAAATAATTCGTTCCAAATTCTTTCGCTTTTTTGTTTCCGATGCGATGAACCGATACGACGGATTATATCCGTTGTCGCCAAACACGAGCACATTGAGACAGGGCGGTACTCAAACTTCCAAAGGGCTATAGCTTTGTTACTTTAATTTTACCAGAAAAATGGTAAAGGAAAAAAACATTTCTTTTGATCAGATCTACTCACTGTTAAAATAAATGACTCAACTTCGAAGTCACCCTGTATATATATATATATATATGTGTTATATGCACTCACAACAATGGACTTACTATTCCATACAATGTTGCACCAGACGCTAGCTCAGCAACAGATAACGACTTCTCGCTAACCCGTTGTTTATGCTTTGTTTTCTAGAAGTGCTTTGTAAGCACACCAATAGTATAAATAGGCCTTCCGCCCATTTCATGTTGTTCATTACCCGGCTAGGCACCGTAACAGTCACTTATGTAAACTTATGTTCATACCCGGTTAGACTCCCTCAAGTCAAGTAATTGTAAACGTTTGTAGCGGACAGAAGTTACTGTGCTCAAATAAATTTTTTAAAAAGTAAAGTTGAATTTAAATGATATAACATATATATATATATATATATATATCACAAAGTATAGATAAATACTAAGTATCGTGCACAACAAACAAAGTAACTAAACAAGTTTGCTTGTGCTTGGGTTTGTTACAACTAAAAGTACAACAACTGACTGAACACTGTAATTATGGTATAATTTGGTGAAGTGAATTATGGGGATTAACACCAATAAATTATACATATCATAAAAATACGTCTAACCTAAGCATCTGCGACAGACAAAGTAAACAATCAAAAAATCTGAAAATTCATCATACTTCAGTAGCGTGTATACCTACATTAAAGAAGTTTTTGACAATCGGAGTCTCCAAACCTACGAAATTTTATTACACACCTCGTATATTACAAATTCATTCATCATTTTTGGACATCCAGTAGAGTTGGGGATTGAAGGAGACTCACCTATCGGACCCCGAATCATGCCTGTCATCTTGGTCACTCTCAGTTTTGATGTCAAATTCGTGATGTAGCCCTAACGCGTCCATATTTTCAAGATTTGTGCTCCTTAAATCTGGTTTTTCTTCCAGCTTTTCAGATTCTTGGAACTCCATTTTCATCTGGTTAACTGTATCTGCTCTCGAATCAGCTTCAAGTCCAGACTCTAATTTCTCTTCAACTTTAATTCTAAAATGGTAATAAAAAGGACATTTTAATACAGGGCAGTCAATTTACAAGACGATTCAGAAAGGTTCCCATTCCCAGCTATTTTTTGAATAGGGTGACGAATTTCATGCATGAATAGTATATTATAGCTTTTTTTAACTATATTTATCCTGAGCATAGGTTAGCATTATTTGGAAAGGGCCTCTCAACAATTACAATCAATGACTTTTTCAAGACAGATTTGAATCATATGCTTCAGAGCAACATCTTCTCATTACTTTTGTTTGGTTGACGCTATTTGTATCACAAGTGGTTTCAGCAGTTGTATAGCATTGCTATTTGCAAATAAAGATTACGGTTATTGTTAATATTGTTGGGGTGGCTGTGGAACATTTCAAATGACGGTAGGGCCCCACCTTGGAGTATTCTTTCAGAGCATTAATGCCATGTCATGTTTTATGCCTCATTTTGAAGCTCCTTATGGTGGGAGCCTCGGTAGCTCGTTGGTTTATGTGTCGAGGTAGCAATCCGGCATGGGTATAACGCGTCTTGAAAAGTGACCATTATGTCGTTTCTTTGACATTACATACAGGGTGTCCCGCGAGGTAAAGGACAAAATTTTTCTGCGGGTTCCTCAGGTCAATTCGAGTAGAAAAAGTCGTATGAACATGGGTCTCCAAATGCTTCCTTATCGAGATACGATTTTTTATTTTTAGTGGGTGAAAATCACAATATTCTTGGAAAATTGCTTTTATTTAACAAAAAATTTAATACTGTTCATATGAAAACAACTGTTTACAGTAATTAAAGTCAACATTCACTATGTACTGCCCGATTAATAGATTAGTGTTTGTTTGTTGTTGACGGAGTGGTTGTGTCAGTTTGATTGAACTTTGCAAAAAGTATTTAAATAACACTTTTCCTGGGCATTGGATCGGACGAGGGGGCGCAGTTTCTTGGTCACCCCGCTCGCCCGATTTAAATCCCTTGGATTATAACTTGTGGGGACATATGAAGTCTCTAGTGTATGCAGAGAAATCACATACCAGGCCTGAACTGCTCCATAAAATTACTGATGTCTCTGACGACATAAGTATTAATCGTCTTGTTATTGGGAAAGCCACCAGTTACATTACTAAACCAGCTAGACTATGTTTACAGTATGAAGGTGGACACTTTGAACAACTATTGTGAATAGTTATTTTTATTGTATCTAGTAATTTTATCTTAAATAAAAGTAATTTTCCAACAATATTGTGGTTTTCCCACCAATAGCACCTTAAAAATAAAAAATCATTATCTCGATAAGGAAGTATTTTCGGACCCATGTTCATTAGATTTTTTCCACTCGAATTGACGTGAAGCACATGTAGAAAAATTTTGTCTCTTTTTTGTGATATTATGTAGGTTTTTCTACAAGAAATCAACTTTGCACTAGCTGTTGAACACTTGTGTACGTGTTGCATCATGATGTTTCAGTTATTACTGTTTGGCTCTGATGTGATATAACATCTACTTTATTGGAGATTTAAGCTGAAAGTTGTATACTATAGCTAGACGGAAACGGCAGTCCATAGGTTCATAGTGTGGATTTTTGTGCTAATAATATATGTTAATGATAATTCCATTGGTTTCTTGTCTCAAATACACTTACTTGACATGTATGTATGCAAAGCTAAAAAGTAGTTGCACATCCACTTTTTCTTATTAAACACGGAAATTACATATGCAAATTATACGAAATTCAAAAATAGAGTCACAAGAAAAGAAAATATCTGGTTGGTGAAGTATATTAAAACAAACAAGTGAGAAAATATGGTACATACAGGAATATTTATGAAACGTAAAATAGTTCTTGCATTTTACGATATTTTTTATTTCCAGTCATTTACATTTTATAGAATTTTTTTTTGCAATGTCAAGTAGAAAATACAATTCGACACCTAGATGTGAGGCAGTGTGAAAATGTTTTTTATGTGTTGCGTTATTCTTTATTTATCTGTGATGTGGCTAAAAGTGCAGTGCTAATTTCCTGTAATGCTTTTAAAAGTTGTTAAAAACGCAAAATCAAACGAGAAAATTGTGATGTATAACTTTTAGAAAGGACAACACAAATAACCCGACAATTTGTCGTTTTTTTTTGATGTTCTATAGGTTTTTTGCATAATAGCTCTACGATTCCATAGCAAATTGAACTCAATTTTTGACATACCTCAGAAATGTGGTGGGACATGAAAAAAATTTGTAATGCATATGAAATTAAGCTCAGACTGCCTGAAGCTATATTCTATATACATGAAGTGCTCCTAATGAATCTTCAAAAAATATTTCAAGATGGCGCTAACAACCATATTGAAATTTATAATAAGCTAACATACCTGTTCAAAAATTAAGTATGGGGAAACATTTTTAATGAATGCCCTGTATAAAGGTATTTATTGAATTGAATAGACCCAAAACAAAATTAGGCCCACCTATCAGATACAGCATTTTCACATTCATTTTTGATATCAAACTCTTCATTTAGTGTCCAAATGTCCATATTTTCAAACTTTGTGTTGTTCACAGTTGGTTCTGCTTCTGGTTTTTCGGATTTAACCCCAACTACTAACTGATTCTCCATTTTCACCTGATTAACTCCATCCCAGTGTTCATCTTTGACACTAAAATAATATTACTATAACTGTCGAGCACCATCTCTAGGCGCCAGTTTTGCCACTTCTTGGACTGTTGTTGAAGGGATTCTCTACCATTGATAAGAGAATATAAAATATTAGGAATAATTATGAACGAGGTTGAAAGGTGATCTTGCCTTGGGAGGCTAATGTTGCAATTAAGAATAGACAATTTTCTGTAAAAGGAAAGTGGAATCTGTTTTTATTACTTCAAATGGAATTAGTTACTTGGTAAAATGGCTGTGATGGTTAAAATTGTATGTGAATATCCAAATACAACATGAGACAGGGTATCTCCTTGGAGAACATATTAAACGATGGCATATTTATAAAAGAAGTACCGTGAAATGGGGTGAAATTGATCACTTACAATCGTTATATTGGAATGTCTTTTTCAAATCAGATACAATTAAATATACTAAATGACATATAAATCCGAACACCCAGTTTAAATGGTTTTATTTCAATAAAAGTTGGTGAATGTATTTATCTTACTGTAAATAACAAGTGAAAACATTTTCAGCCTTATCAGTTGGACATTCTGGTTTTTATACTGCTTTTTTTTAATTCACTAACGCTCTAAAAATGAATATTTCAGCCGCAGTAAAGAATCAACGTTGGCGGATTTTGGTTCTTGACATCCTTTACGATCGGTTACGATGCCTAGAGTACGGAGACCTGTACGATTTCGTCAACTTAGTGAGTTTGATAGGGGCCGTATAGTGGGACTTCGGGAAGCTGGACTTTCTTTTCGGGCAATTGCAATTAGAGTGCAAAGAAGTGTAGACACTGTGGTTAGGTGTTGTCAGGCATGGCTTCGAGAAGGCCGTACGCAAAGAGCAAGGGGCACTGGACGCCGCCGTAGAACAACAGACCGTGAAGATCGCCGCCTAAGATTATTGGCCTTAAGGGACCGTTTCTCCACTACCAGGTCCATTACAAATGAATGGTTTGCAGAACACGGAAGACCTATTGATATGCGAAGTGTTTACCGACGAATGGGAAGTTTTGGCTTGTTTTCATACCGGCCACACTGGGTCCTCCCTTTAACTCGAGAACACCGACGTAATCGCTTTGAGTGGTGCAGACAACGGTCACTCTGGGATCAGGAATGGAACAGTATTGTCTTTAGTGACGAGTCTCGATTTTGTTTAGGCATGCACGATGGTCGTGCCAGGGTTAGAAGGCGACGTGGTGAAAGGAGGAATCCACAGTATTTTGTTGAAAGACATGTTCATCACACTGATGGAGTTATGGTTTGGGGTGCTATGCTATGCTTATGGTTCCAGGTCACCTTTAATCTTCTTCAGAGGTAACATGAACGCGCAGCGTTATATCCACGAAGTTCTAGAACCCCATCTTTTACCCTATCTTGACACCCTGGCAGATCCAACTTTCCAACAAGATAATGCCTGACCACATGTTGTAAGAGTCACAATAGATTTCTTTTAACATAATGATGTCACATTGTTACCATGGCCACCCAGATCTCCCGACTTATCCCCAATTGAGCACTTGTGGGATACGATGGGTAGGAGATTGCTCAATTTGCAACGTCCTCCTCAGACTCTTGAAGCACTTCGAGAGGAGTTGGTGGTTGCCTGGAATGAGATACCACAGGAGAACATTGACCACCTGATCAGAAGCATGCCTAGGCACGTTGGAGAATGCGTAGCACATCAGGGTGCATCCACACATTATTAAAGGTCAAATGGCTTTAAAGCAGTGCAATCATTTTGAAATTTTTATCATTTACTTATTATGCTTCATTAAGTACTTATACAAAATTTTATTAAAATAAAACCATTTAAACTGGGTGTTCGGATTTATATGTCACTTAGTATACATTCTGTAAAGTAACTATCTTCATTATTGCTCATTACCGGAGGAGCTTATTTTGCACAAAAATAAGCAAAAACTACATGATCAGTTTTATACCTTATTTGGGGTGACTTTGATCAGAAAATAAATTCCAATGCAGAAATACATATAATTGTGTTAGTTGGCGAACAATGTGATTGATACCTGGTCAGTTTCGTCAAATGGTTGGGAAATTATTGTGGATTTTATCTTATGGGGTCAGATTGATCACTGGGGGTGAGTTTGATCACCTAGATTATCACCATCAAATATGTAAGGCACCAAACAACAAAATATTTTGAGAACACATTAAACTAAAGAGCGATAGATTGTTATTTTGATAAATTACATAGGGGTATTCAATCATTTTGAAGATAAAAATTTGGTGGTCAATGCCACCCCAGAGGAGTAATCAAGCTCACCTCAATATGGTGATCAATATGGCCCCACGTTACTTAGCTAAAATTTTAGAAGAAACCTGGCAACAATATAAGGTTCACATTAAGGTTAAAGTTTTGCAAGGTACCCATGAACATGGTTGTGTAATAAAACTATGTTGTTCTTTAAATCGTACGGAAGTAGAAGACAAATTAGGTACAAAATCTATCGACAAAACCCTTACCCCTTTTTAATGGTCAATTTAAGCACGAACACATCAGTAATTTCACAACAAACCATACACAATCACTCTGCTTATTGCTACTGAACAACGGGTTGGTGTCACCGCGTTCGAGCAGTTGACATCCAACGCGTGAAATTCATAAATTCCTAGACTGAAAATAGTTATCAAACTCACCCCGTGAGATCAACGTCACCCCATTTCACGGTACTGAGGAACTCTACTATTTTCGAAGCTCCTAAATTTGTACTTGTATGGTAGATAGGGACACCTCAATGTAGCATACAATAAGAAAACTATTTGGAAGTTTCTTGATCTATGATCAACTATTATTACATTTCTTACCTTTTCAATGTTGAACATGTTGAACTGGAACTCATGCTCCTCTTGCTATATGGTTCCTGTACACGACTTATTGACTGTTTAGTCTTCATTTCAGGATATATAACATATAAAGAATAATAAAATAATTCTATCGCAGATTATTTACTCAAAGCCCTCAAATCTAAGAAACTACCCTTGCTGCATACTCAAAAATCACATTTTAAAAACAACAACGCTCAACCGCTAACCCACAAACCACAAACACAAAACACCTGTGACCAGTGTTGCCACGTGGAGTCGACGATATTTCGGTAGAATTGTTTGGAATTTTTTCGGTAGTTTGAATACCGAAGAGTAAATGAAGGCATTCACTTAAAACAAATTTATTTAACTCAAACTATACTCTAAAAGAGAAGACAAAACAAAAATAAACAGTTTATATCTCACTTTAGCTAACTAAAAATAAAATATTCTTAATAATAAACAGAAAAGGTGTATAAAAAAAATGTGTAAGCTATATTGGATAATAATTCTTCCGATTCATTTTTATCAGTCATATTATATAGCAGGAATGGCAAATTATGCTCGGCCAAAAATGCGCTCAAACGAATTTCTCCTGGAAATAATAAAATAATCTATAATAATCTCAAATCTTCTCAAATAGTTTGTTTAATTTTACCTTCTTTAATATCATTTTCTAATTTCTTTGATGTACCTGCAACTGCAAGTGACAACAGTTTTGGCTGTTTTGTTATGGTTTGCACTTTTTTATGAAATTGCCCATTTGCGTGTTTTATAAGTGCATCTCTTCCACTTTTGATATTAATATCTTTATCACAGACCATGCATTTCGCATAATCGCGCCCTTTATTGCTTTTTTAAGTCAGCCTTGGAAATCTGGCAATTCTTTCCAGTCTTCCTTATAATGTTGGGCACACGCATGCGAAAAAAAAAGAACTGCATAACAGGCAATACTTATACTTTTTTTATATATCGATGCAGCCGCGCATGCAGAAGCCTAAATGCCGGAACACCGCGGCTGCTATGATGATCCCAAAGAAATTTTGTTAATACGATTTTTGAACTGCCTAAGGTTAGTAGAACTGGGAAAAGCTTCCTCTTATAGATTGTTCCACAATCTCGACACCCTCGGGACAAAGGAGCGGTCGTATCGGCCAGTTCTGGATGTACGAAGTTCGACACGGTTAGGATGGGACGCCAAAGTCAGGCGGGTCTGTCTGACAGGCACATCGCGCGGCGGCATCATAAGAGAGAGCTCTGAGGAGCAAAGCCTGTTGGTGTAGCGGTAGAAAAGGGCTAGATCGCCGACGGCCCGCCGGTGCGAAAGAGTCCCGAGACTGTCTGTTAGAGAAGAGTCATCGATCAGACGGACAGCCCTCTTCTGGTCAACATCGGGCATAAATAATGTAGTCGGGGTAGCACCTCAAATGTGTGAGCAATACTCGAGGCTAGGCCTTATCTGGGCCTTGTATAGAGTAAGAAGGTCATGCGGAGAAAGGTACTTTTTAGCCCTAAACAAATAGCCTAGTTTTTTCCCAGCAGCTGCAGCTATTGACGAGATGTGTTCGTGCCAAATCAGGTCCTCGGTGATCTGGACTCCGACTAGCCGGAATGAATGGCTCTTTGACAGAACTCGGCCATCCATCGAAACCGGATGAGCGCTAGGACGCTTTTTGTTCGTCAAAGTACAGTACTGTGATTTGGAAGCATTGAACTGTACAAGATTGTTGCGTCCCCAAGCAGTGATAGCCTCCAGGTCTCTTGTCAGAGAGGAAGTCGTCGATAGTCTTCTTTTTTCCAGCTCAGAGGCAGAGATCGACCGAATTCGGAATTACTAAGTACACGAAGTCATACAAATCGTACAATACAGGCATAGACTTGCTACGAGCCGCTAGGCCTAGGCGATGCAGCCAAATCATCGAGTATCTTCGGTGATTCCCAGATGCGGAGAATCAACGTATGTGGCACACCAATGTCAGGCAAAGAGAATAAAAATATTTCTGGTCTATTACGAATAATAATAGTACTTTTGTCATTCTTTTTAACGCTATGCATCAGAAATATTTCTCTTATTTAGGGAACAAAAATTATTCATTTGAAAAAAAGTCCACTTTCCGGTAGATTTTGCTTTAAAATCGGTTGTTTGGTGGACTAGGACCAAAATCGGTAGATCTACCGAAAAATCGGTAGACTTAGTAACACTGTCTGTGACATAAGTTACACTGGACTCAGTCACTTGTGTTGTGTCTTTTGCCATCTATTGGTGAAAAACATAAGTATATATTTGTTATACAGATATCAACATTCACTCTCAAATTACAGATGCCTGCAACTCAACAACGCTGGCAGCATCTACTGGAGAAAAGCCGATAGTATATCTTTTGGCTAGATTTCTCTCTTTGATTCCTTTTAGCTAAGTAAAAAATATTTAGATGGCATCAGATGGTAACTTAAGATTGTCTTATCTCGATACGAAACGAGTCGGAGGAGATAATCCAGTCGGCAAAGACTAGAGTATTTTAAAAATCAATTTATCTGTCACACCCAAAATTAAGGGAATCTTTCGCGCAATTAAGAATTCTAAAAGGTTATAATTTTTTTAAAACATGGTTCCGTTACAGTAATCATTAATGTTTGAAGCCGCGTTATAAGTTCTTGTAATTTCCTACTATATGTACAATCGAGAAGGCATTGAAATGTCTGCATTCAAAAGTGTATTTAGGAGTGCAATTCCGAAATCATCCCGAATCTTTGTCCCATTTGTACAGATTTTTCACTTCTTGTGATTTTTTAATAATCACCTAGGTCTAGGGATTTGAGAATGGATAATGAAAAAACTATTTACTAAATGCGTGAGAATTAGATTGACTTTAATAGTTTAAGCGTAATCTATACACCGCACCCATAAAAATATGTCACAATAAAATAATAAAGGTTTCCGTTTTGAACTGTTCTTAAAACTGTGAAACGTCAAAATCTATCACGGACTGGAACGTTGAAAACGGAGATTTTTCAACTTTTTCGTTTGCCCGTTGGTCCGCAGTTAATCAATTTTTGAAAGATATTCAAAACTCGGACCTCGGTAAGAGGTAGGGTTATGGGGTAAAGTTGTGCATTTAGGTAACTATGAAAGTGGCACTTAGAAAGTTTTGTAATTCGGATTATTTTCAGAATGTCAGAATTAAAAAGAATTTTCCCGAAATCGTATTTTCTCCTGACTCTTTTTGAAATGGGATTTCATCAATTCTGACAGAGATAATAATAATAATAGTAATAAAGCATATATTGCCCAACAGTATACACCATTTACAGAGCAATGGGTAATAAATTCAATTAATATACTAAATTTACCTAAAACTAACTTTAGCGAAACTACAAATTGGCACGACACTGGGTTCTTATTTCTGAAAAACTGCAACACCACTGAGCAACACAAATTAAAAGTTAGGCGAAATGGGTGGGTACATTTAAGGATCATAAAATTCAGAAAAATACATGTGTACATATAAAAACAGTAAAGTCATCATTTACAAAAGCATCGCAGAACACTAAAATGGTACGTACTCCTGATATCCAAATATTGCCAGAATATATAACTTAAAATTTATAAATATTCTTCCCGTAGCGATGTGTCACTGATGACACCACCACAGACCAGTTGGAATCTGTTACCGATTGCACAGTCGGCAGTGGCCTCCACGACGACGCAGCATCGCTCCGTGCACGCATTGCCAAGATATTTATGAGCACATTATACATCGGACTTTTATCATTTAATTTTCCAGTTGTTACAGGGATCAGAAACTTCTGAGTGATAAAAACGTCTGACTAATACTACATTTACAACCTCCTACCCCTTTCAACCCTCAACCGATCGACGCGAAGTGATCTCCAACATTCTAGATATCGCTTTGTGGTTTTCTCGCAGTGGTAATTGAACTATATATAACTCGGCGGCCGGGAGATGGGGCAGAGAGTACGGATTACGGTGGAGTAGCAGAGCGAGAAGTATAGTGCAGTCAATGGTGACATAAGAATTAGTCAGACATAAATAGTGGGGCATATAAATGTTTCATCGTCGTTACAATAACATAAATGAATAAAGAGTACTTTCCGTCATTCTTTTTTTGCTGCTGCTAGTTTACCGCACGTTAGCTTTGTTATTTTAAATGTAGTTATTTCTGAAAGCAATTGTCCCAGCTTCCTGGATACCATATATTTACCGTGTGGTATTCTAATAAATGCTACAACTATCAGTATTTTTTACGATGTTTTTTTCCTTTTTGTAGTTCATCGAATATCCGCATGATTTTTTATTCCGTGATCATCACATGTCGATTTACAATCAAATGTCTCATTACAGCATTCCTAAATATCACAACTCGACGCATTGTCAAATATGAAATAGTTCTCCAGTTAAGCTGACTAGGGATAAGGGGTAGGAAGACAGCGTTAACTGCGTTATCACTTTATTTGCTAACATAGAGGCCTCCTTGCCGATTTACAACTTGTAGCGAACAATTCAGGAAATAAAAATATCGTTGATAAATAAAAAAGTTCGTACGTCTGTAGGGCTGAATGAATAGATACGTGCTCCTTCTGTCGAAGCTCATGCCCATCTCCCCGCTCATCTCATCAAATGCCATCTTCAAGAGATTTTTTTAATTTGCTGTCCGCGTAATATCCTCATTCTTTCCTAAAGCAATAACGTAGATATCGATTTGATATGAGCCTCTTAAACATCCGATTGATACTCCGCGAGTGCTCTCAAAACGTCACCGTGGTCCTCGACGTTTCTTTCCTTCAGAACTGCATATAGTCGTACGTCTGTTTTTATCGTGCAACAGTCGTCTGGTTGAACACAGTTCATAACTAAACAAACTCGGGTTTTTGAATCGAACAGCGACGGTGTCAAGCAGTGTTTACAAACATGTAACAGGGCAGTACTTGAAAATATGAATAGCGAGTATTTTTCTTCAATTTCTTACTGACCTTTTCGCTGCTATTTTGCCGTACATTAGCTTTGTTATTTCAAACGTAGTTATTCCTTAAAATGAAAATCCCAACTTTCAGGAAATCCTGTATGAGTATATTCTTATGAATGAGATCATTATCGGTATTTTATACGATATTTTTTCATAGTTCATCGAATGATATCTGCATGATTTTTATTACGTGATCATCAAATGTCGATTTACAATCAAATGTCACATTACAGCATTCATAGTTATCATAATTCGACATATTGAAATTGGTACGATCCAGAGATTTTTTCAATTTGCCCCCAGAAGCGATAAGCTCAGGCTGTTTCCCAAAAGTGCGGTTGTCTAAGTATTCCTTTCTTGCAAATGTAGTAGTAAAATCAGGATGTGTCCGCAAAATGTGATCGTCTAATGATAGTGTAGTTGTAAATGACGCATCACACTTTGTACACTTCAGCTTAGCTCCAGTATGTTTCATCATATGCCTAGCTAAGCAGTGGTAAAATGTAGTTTTATATTCACAATGTGTACATTTATGTATCTTACGAGATACAGAAGTAGTAAACTCAGGATGTGTCCGCAAAATGTGATCGTCTAATGATAGTGTAGTTGTGAATGACGCATTACACTTTGTACACTTGAGCTTAGCTCCAGTATGTTTCATCATATGCCTAGGTAAGCAGTGTTGAAATGTAGTTTTATATTCACAATGTGTACATTTATGTATCTTACGAGATACAGAAGTAGTAAATTCAGGATGTTTCCGCAAAATGTGCTCGTCTAATGCTAGTGTAGTTGTAAATGAGGCATTACACTTTGTACACTTGTGCTTAGCTCCAGTATGTTTCATCATATGGCTAACTAAATACTTCTTATATGTAGTTTTATATTCACAATGTGTACATTTATGTATCTTACGAGATACAGAAGTAGTAAATTCAGGATGTTTCCGCAAAATGTGCTCGTCTAATGCTAGTGTAGTTGTAAATGACGCATTACACTTTGTACACTTGTGCTTAGCTCCAGCATGTTTCATCATATGGCTAACTAAACACCCCTTATATGTAGTTTTATATTCACAATGTGTACATTTATGTAATTTACGAGATACAGAAGTAGTAAACTCAGGATGTGTCCGCAAAATGTGATCGTCTAATGATAGTGTAGTTGTGAATGACGCATTACACTTTGTACACTTGTGCTTAGCTCCAGTATGTTTCATCATATGGCTAACTAAATACTTCTTATATGTAGTTTTATATTCACAATGTGTACATTTATGTATCTTACGAGATACAGAAGTAGTAAATTCAGGATGTTTCCGCAAAATGTGCTCGTCTAATGCTAGTGTAGTTGTATATGAGGCATTACACTTTGTACACTTGTGCTTAGCTCCAGTATGTTTCATCATATGGCTAACTAAATACCCCTTATATGTAGTTTTATATTCACAATGTGTACATTTATGTATCTTACGAGATACAGAAGTAGTAAATTCAGGATGTTTCCGCAAAATGTGCTCGTCTAATGCTAGTGTAGTTGTAAATGACGCATTACACTTTGTACACTTGTGCTTAGCTCCAGTATGTTTCATCATATGGCTAACTAAATACCCCTTATATGTAGTTTTATATTCACAATGTGTACATTTATGTATCTTACGAGATACAGAAGTAGTAAAATCAGGATGTGTCCGCAAAATGTGATCGTCTAATGATAGTGTAGTTGTAAATGACGCATCACACTTTGTACACTTCAGCTTAGCTCCAGTATGTTTCATCATATGCCTAGGTAAGCAGTGTTGAAATGTAGTTTTATATTCACAATGTGTACATTTATGTATCTTACGAGATACAGAAGTAGTAAATTCAGGATGTTTCCGCAAAATGTGCTCGTCTAATGCTAGTGTAGTTGTAAATGAGGCATTACACTTTGTACACTTGTGCTTAGCTCCAGTATGTTTCATCATATGGCTAACTAAATACCCCTTATATGTAGTTTTATATTCACAATGTGTACATTTATGTAATTTACGAGATACAGAAGTAGTAAACTCAGGATGTTTCCGCCAAATGTGATTGTCTAATGGTCGTATGGTTGTAAATGACGCATCACACTTTGTACACTTGAGCTTAGATCCAGTATGTTTCATCATATGGCTAACTAAATACTCCTTATATATAGTTTTATATTCACAATGGGTACATTTATGTATCTTACGAGATACAGAAGCAGCAACATCAGGATGTTCCCGCAAAATGTGATCGTCTAATGATAGTGTGGCTGTAAATGACTTATCACACTTTGTACACTTGAGCTTAGCTCCGGTATGTTTCATCATATGGCTAACTAAATGCCCCTTATATATAGTTTTATATTCACAATGGGTACATCTATGTATCTTACGAGATACAGAAGTAGTAAACTCAGGATGTTTCCGCAAAATGTGATCGTCTAATGTTCGTATAGTTGTAAATGACTTATCACACTTTGTACACTTGAGCTTAGCACCAGTATGTTTCATCATATGGCTAACTAAATAATCCTTATATATAGTTTTATATTCACAATGGGTACATTTATGTATTTTACAAGACACGGATGACTCAAATTTAGGATGTTTCTGTATGACGTGGTTTTCTAAGCGTCGTTTAGTATTGAATGAAGCATCACAGTTATTACATTTGAAAGTCGTTCGAGTATCATGTCTTGCCAGGTGCCTTATAAAATTACTCCTAGCTATTTGTTTATGTGGACAATGCATACATTCATATATCTTACTAGAAACTGTCCCGCTAAAGTTGGGATGTCTCTTTGAAATATGGCCAAAAAGCGATCGTTCTGTTTTAAATGATGTATTACAATGTTTGCATATGCGTAGTTTAGTAGTATGCTTTAGCATATGGCTGTTTAAAGGCCTTTTATAAGCGGTTTTAAAATCACAGAATGTGCATTCATGTATTTTAGATGGAACTAACGCAATAGATCCTACATGCTTTTTAACCAAATGATTATCTAGTGATGTTTTGCTTTTGAACACCTTCCTACATTTGATACAACGATACAGATACTGTTTTCTGGATACAGATCGTGATTTTCCCAAATTAGATCGTAAATAGCAATTGTTCCTTTTGATATGACCGATCAAACCCTTTTTACAATGGCTCGTATAGTTACAAATATAGCAGCTGAACGACTGTTTTCCTTCTTCGATCGGTGGATTTCGTTGTTCCTTTTCCCGCTTTATCTTTATTTGGACGCTGAAAAAAAAAGTTTCATTATAATTCACGTTTTTTAATTGATAAAGAGAATCGATTCAGTTATAGCGAGACAGTGCCTGAAGTTTGCATTAAACGCTAATTCTATAAATAATATTAGTTTAAACAGGTTTCGAAGGATATACAGGGTGTTTTCAAAGTTGAGCTATTTATTTTAAGAGCTTGTAGAACTCGTCAAAAGAAGTTGATGTACCAAAAATCCCCTATATAAAAGTTGCGTAATAGAGTTATACTAAAATTCAGCCCAAGTGAGACCACAACATCGCAAACTCGAAGCGTGATCAGCGCGTGATCGATGTTCCCGCTGAGGTTCTCATTATAGTTCAGGCATTTTACGGTTTGAAGTTGTAGTTTGAAGCGCTCGCTTTTTCAACTAATAGTTTCATTTCGTAGCTTTTATTTTTCTTTTTTTAAACTTTCCGCTCCTCATATTGATGCTTTTGTTAAATACAATATCCTGAAGTGTCTCCAATATAAAACTCCATGAATTTGGAAAACAAGCAGCCTCGAACATTTTTTAAGAGCTAGTTAGACCGAAGCAATACAAAACCCGCCGTTGCGCCGCGTTGATGTCTACAAAAACCAGAGTTGTAATCAGGCCGTGGCGTGGCGTCGAGTGCATCGCTGTTATAAGTTCTGTTATATCTGGTGTTTTTTGACCATGTCTTCTACCGACACAGCTGATGAAGGGAGAGCTACATTGAGTCCACCCAGGAAACGATCAAGACAAAACCATTTGAGCATCGAAGTGAAATAAATTATTTTAAATGTTTACAAATGTGAAACGGAGGAAAAACCTGAGCTCGGCGTCAAAGATGTTGTGCAGAGGGTGGCGAATAAATTTGGAGTTTCTCGTGCATCGGTATTTAGAGTACTCAAAGAATATAAATTACGGAATGCATTTGCTGAACCTAAAACGAATCAGAACCGTAAAAGCCAAATTAAAGAAATAAATGATGCTGACAGACATGCGATCAGAAGGAAGGTTCATGAATTCTTTTTCCAGAATGAAATTCCTACAATTGATAAGATTTTGAAAGTAGTGAATGAAAACTCAGATTTGGCAAATTTTAGTAAAACGACGTTCTACAGGCTATTAAAGGAACTCAACTTCAATTGGCAGAAGAGAGGCCGAAACAGTTCATTGATGGATAGAGATGAAATTATACTATGGAGGAGAGAGTATTTGACAAAAATAAAAGCATACAGGAGCCAAAACAGTAGAATTTACTTCCTGGACGAGACGTGGATAAATGCTGGCCATACAAAATCAAAAGTTTAGGTGGACCAAACAGTAACGTCAGCAAGAAGAGCGTTTTTAGATGGGCTTTCAACTGGGCTTAAAAACCCTACACGTAATGCAGACATTCCATTTTAGAAAATCCAACAATAGTTATTAGATAATTTTTCATAGCCAAAGTGATTTAAATGAGGCATTACACGTTATCAGATATCTAGAAAAAACGAGGGGATGTTCACTCGGGAAATCAATGTATTCTACGTTGGAATTCTACGTTGGAATTCTTATGGTATCGATGACAAGATTTTTTACAGCAATGCGAGCGTTGCAGAGACAACATACCTCGTCCGTCACGGAATGTAACACGTTAATTAACAACGTCAGACATTGCGGTGATTTGTAAATTTTTCGATAAGTTTGTCACACTTAATTTTTTAGTTTAATTGATGTTGCCTGTTTCTTTTTGTTTTTTAAGCTTTTAACCAGATTCATCAACAGATTAAATGATGCATTGGTTGAAGTGTCCGATATATCTCACCGCATGCATCCCGCTATCATGAGAAACAATATAGCATCGTATATAAAATACAGAAATGTGTCCCTATCTCCGTGGCCTCAGTACTCTTGTGAAAGACATATAATGTACATCCGTATTTAACAAGTTTTATCTTTATAGGCAAAGGAAAAAGGCTCATTATTTGCCACATCGGGAGTGTAGATGGCTTCGTGAAGGAAGGACTATGGTGTTTTGAATAAAAAAAAATCACTGACTACCACGAAGAGATGAATGGTGAAGCATTCGAAAACTGGTTTTTAGGCATTTTACCACGTCTTAAAGACAAATCTGTGGTGGTCCTGGATAATGCTCCGTATCATTCTCGGAAATTAGAAAAAATTCCAAATTCATCTTTTAAGAAATCAGAGATACAGGACTGGCTACGTGCAAAAAATATACCTTTTGATACGTTTATGTTGAAATTACACCTTTTAGATCTTGTGAAACAACACAGAGCAAAATATGATAAATATATAGTGGACGAGATGGCAAAAGCGCACAATAAAATGGTACTTCGTTTGCCTCCTTACCACTGTGAGCTCAACCATTCAAAAATAAAATCTTGGTGTCCACGAATTAAATCACAAGCATTTTCAAAGTGCACTGTTGAAGTTCTTCCAGAGTATTTACTGCTCCATCATGATACACCAACTCTTTCAAATAGCCCCACAGAAAAAAATTGCAAGGCGTTAAATCCGGGGAGTGAGCAGGCCGAAAAATGGGCCGATTGCGCCCTATCCATCTATTCGGAAACTCATTATTTAGATGTTCATGAGCATCTCGTCTAAAATGTCGTGAAGCGAAATCATGTAGGAACCACATAATATTCTCTCTCACATTTAAAAGAACACTTAAGAATTGTGGCAGATTGTGTGGAAGAAGATCTAAATAAATTTCTAAAAGCCACTGGCACTCTTCCAGGCTGATCTTCAGGTTGTAACGCTTTTACCCGCTGATAGTGATAAGGATAACACTGTTCTTGTCCTAATGCCTTCCACACTTTGCTATGAGAAATTTCAACTTGAGCTGCTATGGCTCTAGGACTCATTGTTGGGTCGTCTTCGATAATTTCTAAAAGGTCTTTCTCAATTCGTAACATTTCAGGTTGAGCTGGTTTCCCAGTGTGACCTCCTCGTTTTTCTTTTAAATATCCTGTGTCACGAAGTCTAATGACTGAATTTACAAACATCCGTGGGGCGGGATGATTTCTTAAAGGATACCTTTCCGCATACGACCTGCATACTGCGGCTGCATTTTGTTGGTACTTTCCGTATATGTTAGTATTATGTCCTCTTGATCATTGTTTTCGTAAACATGGGCCATTTTTTTCGAACAAAATAAGCAGACAAATGAAAGTATATGTACTATTAAAAGACTGATACAACAGATCGAACCAAAGACTCGTACTCGTACAGATAAAGTTTTCATGATTGTCGTTTTATATTCACATGGAATCAGGCAACCACAAAAAAGTTTTCAGGAGCAACTTGCCAGAGAGCTGCCCAAAAACTTGGATTTAAAACTTACAAGGTAGGGTTACATATTTTTTTATTATTTGTTTTTAATACAGTATTTCTTGGCAAAAGAGAAGCCCTTATTGTTAAAGATTCAGACGAAAAACAGACTAGCGTGGGCCTAAAAATACTACAAATGATGGTCTCCAAACCGATGGAACTCCATTTTTTAGATGTAGTGATGAAGCCAGAAATTTGCATTTTGTGGAAGGTATTATGAATACTGAAAAGTGCATTAATGTGCTTCAAAATAAGTTAATACCTCAAATTGGACAAATGCGTTCAAACAATATTGCATGAATAATCAAACAAGATGGTACCGCTTATCATACGGCTAAAAAAGTAAAAGATTGGATGTTCGAAAAAACAATATTTTATTATTAAAATAGACGTCGAGTAGACCAGATCTATCGGCAATTGAAACCTTGTGGCATATCATGATGAAAAAGCTCTGATCCCGCAAGAACCGTTCTAGAATTGCGAACCCGTCTCCAACACATTTGGAACAGTTTTACCCCAGTTGACTGCCAAACATTAGTGGACACTCTGTCAAGACGTATCGAAGCAGTAATTAGTTCAAAAGGCGCTGTAACGCAAGTGGTGATTTGCCTCCTATTTGGTTTTGTTGATTTTTATTAATCGACAGTATTTTTAATTTGCAAGATATTTTTCTTTGTTAATAAATATAGTATTTTAGGCGCACATTAAATAAAAATATCGTATGTTATCAGAAATACATTTTAGTATTTAATACGTTTCCGCTAATATGACAAGTTTCATAAAAAACGTAGATTTGATCGTCGGGCCAACTTCACTGAGTGCTCGTAGTTACCAACATAGCAGCTAAACAACTTGTTTTCTTGTTCCTCCTGTGAATACCTTTGTTTCCATTGTTTTTTATCCACTGATTATGCAGAGTCGGAAAATTAATAGAACTACACTAAAACAAGAGTATTTTTCACAAATACAAAACACTTAGTAATATTGCGTCTCTGGCGATTCAAATGAGCGAATTGTTATATATATATATCACAAAGTACAGATAAATCCTAAGTATCGTGCACAACAAACAAAGTACCCAAAAAAGTTTGCCTTTGCTTGGGTTTGTTAAAACTAAAAGTACAATCACTGACTGAACACTGTAAATATGGTATAATTTGGTGAATTGAATTATGGGGATTAACACCAATAAATTATACATATCATAAAAATACGTCTAACCTAAGCAGCTGTGACAGACAAAGTAAACCATCAAAAAATCTGAAAATTCATCATACTTCAGTAGCGTGTATACCTACATTAAAGAAGTTTTTGACAATCGGAGTCTCCAAATCTACGAAATTTTATTACACACCTCGTATATTACAAATTCATTCATCATTTAGGGACATCCCGTAGAGTTGGAGATTGAAGGAGACTCACCTATCGGACGCCGAATCATGCCTGTCATCTTGGTCACTCTCAGTTTTGATGTCAAATTCGTGATGTAGCCCTAATGCGTCCATATTTTCAAGATTTGTGCTCCTTAAATCTGGTTTTTCTTCCAGCTTTTCAGATTCTTGGAACTCCATTTTCATCTGGTTAACTGTATCTGCTGTCGAATGAGCTTCAAGTCCAGACTCTAATTTCTCTTCAACTTTAATTCTAAAATGGTAATAAAAATGGCGTTTTAATACAGGGCGGTCAATTTACAAGATGATTCAGAAAGGTTCCCATTCCCAGCTATTTTTTGAATAGGGTGACGAATTTAATGCATGAATAGTATATTATAGCTTTTTTTAACTATATTTATCCTGAGCATAGGCTAGCATTATTTGGAAAGGACCTCTCAACAATTACAATCGATGACTTTTTCAAGACAGATTTGAATCATATGCTTCAGAGCAACATTTTGTCATTACTTTTGTTTGGTTGACGCTATTTGTATCACAAGTGGTTTCAGCAGTTGTATAGCATTGCTATTTGCAAATAAAGATTACGGTTATTGTTAATATTGTTAGGGTGGCTGTGGAACATTTCAAATGATGGTAGGGCCCCACCTTGGAGCATTCTTTCATAGCATTACTGCCATGTGATGTTTTATGCCTCATTTTGTAGCTCCTTATGGTGGGAGCCTCGGTAGCTCGTTGGTTTATGTGTCGAGGTAGCAATCTGGCATGGGAATTACGCGTCTTGAAAAGTGACCATTATGTCGTTTTTTTGACATTACATACAGGGTGTCCCGCGAAGTAAAGGACAAAATTTTTCTGCGTGTTCCTCAGGTAAATTCGAGTAGAAAAAGTCGTATGAACATGGGTCCCCAAATGCTTCCTTATCGAGATATGATTTTTTATTTTTAGTGGGCGAAAACCGCAATATTCTTGGAAAATTGCTTTTAACAAAAAATTTAATACTGTTCATATGGAAACAAATGTTTACAGTAATTAAAGTCCACATTCATTATGTACTGCCCGATTAATATCTGTACCTCAGAACGAGACTAGATTAAGTCCAAATAAGTAGTTTTGAGATAATTATATATGAAATACTTTTCTTGCATTGTATTGAATACGACTTGGTATGAGTTAAAAAGTCGTAACTTCCTTATTATTAAAGATAGATGGACGCTGCATGTAGCAAAAAAAATTCGCAATATTATCATATTATTATTATCATTAATATGTTAATTAAACTCATTTTTGACAAAAATGGACTTGACCTAGTCTGGCTCTGGGGTACAGATATATTAGTGTTTGTTTGTTTGTTGACGGAGTGATTATGCCAGTTTGATTGAACTTTACAAAAAGTATTTAAATAACACTTTTCCTGGGCATTGGATCGGACGAGGGGGCGCAGTTTCTTGGTCACCCCGCTCGCCCGATTTAAATCCCTTGGATTATAACTTGTGGGGACATATGAAGTCTCTAGTGTATGCAGAGAAATCACATACCAGGCCTGAACTGCTCCATAAAATTACTGATGTCTCAGACGACATAAGTATTAATCGTCTTGTTATTTCGAAAGCCACCAGTTACATTACTAAACCAGCTAGACTATGTTTACAGTATGAAGGTGGACACTTTGACCAATTATTGTGAATAGTTATTTTTATTGTACCTAGTAATTTTATCTTAAATAAAAGTAATTTTCCAACAATATTGTGGTTTTCCCACCATTAGCACCCTAAAAATAAAAAATCATCATCTCGATAAGGAAGTATTTGCGGACCCTTGTTCATTAGACTTTTTCCACTCAAATTGACGTGAGGCACATGTAGAAAAATTTTGTCTCTTACTCCCTGTATATAAGTTTTTAGTGATATTATGTAGGTTTTTCTACAAGTCATCAACTTTGCACTAGCTGTTGAACACTTGTGTACGTGTTGCATCATGATGTTTCAGTTATTACTGTATGGCTCTGATGTGATATAACATCTACTTCAGAGTTGGCATTATTGGAGATTTAAGCTGAAAGTTGTATACTATAGCTAGACGGAAACGGCAGTCCATAGGTTCATAGTGTGGATTTTTGTGCTAATAATATATGTTAATGATAATTCCATTGGTTTCTTGTCTCAAATACACTTACTTGACATGTATGCAAAGCTAAAAAGTATGAAACGTAAAATAGTTCTTGCATTTTACGATATTTTTTATTTCCAGTCATTTACATTTTATAGAATTTTTTTGCATATGAAATTAAACTCAGACTGCCTGAAGCTATATTCTATATACATGAAGTGCTCCTAATGAATCTTCAAAAAATATTTCAAGGTGGCGCTAACAACCATATTGAAATTTCTAATACGCTAACATACCTATTCGAAAATTAAGTATGGGGAAACATGTTTACTGAATGCCCTGTATAAAGATACTTATTGAACTGAATAGATCCAAAACAAAATTAGGCCCACCTATCAGATACAGCATTTTCATATTCATTTTTGATATCAAACTCTTCATTTAGTGTCCAAATGTCCATATTTTCAAACTTTGTGTTGTTCACAGTTGGTTCTGATTCTGGTTTTTCGGATTTAACCCCAACTACTAACTGATTCTCCATTTTCACCTGGTTAACTCCATCCCAGTGTTCATCTTTGACACTAAAATAATATTACTATAACTGTCGAGCACCATCTCTAGGCGCCAGTGTTGCCATTTCTTGGACTGTTGTTGAAGGGATTTCCTTCTCTACCATTGAGAAGAGAATATAAAATATTAGGAATAATTATGAACGAGGTTGAAAGGTGATCTTGCCTTGGGAGGCTAATGTTGCAATTAAGAATAGACAATTTTCTGCAAAAGGAAAGTGGAATCTGTTTTTATTACTTCAAATGGAATTAGTTACTTGGTAAAATGGCTGTGATGGTTAAAATTGTATGTGAATATCCAAATACAACATGAGACAGGGTATCTCCTTGGAGAACATATTAAACGATGGCATATTTATAAAAGAAGTACCGTGAAATGGGGTGAAATTGATCACTTACAATCGTTATATTGGAATGTCTTTTTCAAATCAGATACAATTAAATATACTAAATGACATATAAATCCGAACACCGAGTTTAAATGGTTTTATTTCAATAAAAGTTGGTGAATGTATTTATCTTACTGTAAATAACAAGTGAAAAAATTTTCAGCCTTATCAGTTGGACATTCCGGTTTTTATACTGCTTTTTTTTAATTCACTAACGCTCTAAAAATGAATATTTCAGCCGCAGTAAAGAATCAACGTTGGCGGATTTTGGTTCTCGACATCCTTTACGATCGGTTACGATGCCTAGAGTACGGAGACCTGTACGATTTCGTCAACTTAGTGAGTTTGATAGGGGCCGTATAGTGGGACTTCGGGAAGCTGGACTTTCTTTTCGGGCAATTGCAATTAGAGTGCAAAGAAGTGTAGACACTGTGGTTAGGTGTTGTCAGGCATGGCTTCGAGAAGGCCGTACGCAAAGAGCAAGGGGCACTGGACGCCGCCGTAGAACAACAGACCGTGAAGATCGCCGCCTAAGATTATTGGCCTTAAGGGACCGTTTCTCCACTACCAGGTCCATTGCAAATGAATTGTTTGCAGAACACGGAAGACCTATTGATATACGAAGTGTTTACCGACAAATGGGAAGTTTTGGCTTGTTTTCATACCGGCCACACTGGGTCCTCCCTTTAACTCGAGAACACCGACGTAATCGCCTTGAGTGGTGCAGACAACGGTCACTCTGGGATCAGGAATGGAACAGCATTGTCTTTAGTGACGAGTCTCGATTTTGTTTAGGCATGCACGATGGTCGTGCCAGGGTTAGAAGGCGACGTGGTGAAAGGAGGAATCCACAGTTTTTTGTTGAAAGACATGTTCATCACACTGTTGGAGTTATGGTTTGGGGTGCTATGCTATGCTTATGGTTCCAGGTCACCTTTAATCTTCTTCAGAGGTAACATGAACGCGCTGCGTTATATCCACGAAGTTCTAGAACCCCATCTTTTACCCTATCTTGACACCCTGGCAGATCCAACTTTCCAACAAGATAATGCCTGACCACATGTTGCAAGAGTCACAATAGATTTCTTTCAACATAATGATGTCACATTGTTACCATGGCCACCAAGATCTCCAGACTTATCCCCAATTGAGCACTTGTGGGATGTGATGGGTAGGAGATTGCTCAATTTGCAACGTCCTCCTCAGACTCTAGAAGCACTTCGAGAGGAGTTGGTGGTTGCCTGGAATGAGATACCACAGGAGAACATTGACCACCTGATCAGAAGCATGCCTAGGCACGTTGGAGAATGCGTAGCACATCAGGGTGCATCCACACATTATTAAAGGTCAAAGGGCTTTAAAGCAGTGCAATCATTTTGAAATTTTTATCATTTACTTATTATGCTTCATTAAGTACTTATACAAAATTTTATTAAAATCAAACCATTTAAACTGGGTGTTCGGATTTATATGTCACTTAGTATACATTCTGTAAAGTAACTTCATTATTGCTCATTACCGGAGGAGCTTATTTTGCACAAAATAAGCAAAAACTACATGATCAGCATTATACGTTATTTGGGGTGACTTTGATCAGCAAATAAATTCCAATGCAGAAATATATATAATTGTGTTAGTTGGCGAACAATGTGATTGATACCTGGTCAGTTTCGTCAAATGGTTGGGAAATTATTGTGGATTTTATCTTATTGGGTCAGATTGATCACCGGGGGTGAGTTTGATCACCTAGATTATCACCATCAAATATGTAAGGCACCAAACAACAAAATATTTTGAGAACACATTAAACTAAACAGCGATAGATCGTTATTTTGATAAACTACATAGGGATATTCAATTATTTTGAAGATAAAAATTTGGTGGTCAATGCCACCCCAGAGGAGTAATCAAGCTCACCTCAATATGGTGATCAATATCACCCCACGTTACTTAGCTAAAATTTTAGAAGAAACCTGGCAACAATATAAGGTTCACATTAAGGTTAAAGTTTTGCAAGGTACCCATGAACATGGTTGTGTAACAAAACTATGTTGTTCTTTAAATCGTACGGAAGTAGAAGACAAATTATTACAGGTACAAAATCTATCGACAAAACCCTTACCCCTTTTTAATGGTCAATTTAAGCACGAACACATCAGTAATTTCACAACAAACCATACACGATCACTCTGCTTATTATTACTGAACAACGGGTTGGTGTCACCGCGTTCGAGCAGTTGACATCCAACGCGTGAAATTCATAAATTCCTAGACTGAAAATAGTTATCAAACTCACCCCGTGAGATCAACGTCACCCCATTTCACGCTACTGAGGAACTTTACTATTTTCGAAGCTCCTAAATTTGTACTTGTATGGTAGATAGGGACACCTCAATGTAGCATACAATAAGAAAACTATTTGGAAGTTTCTTGATCTATGATCAACTATTATTACATTTCTTACCTTTTCAATGTTGAACATGTTGAACTGGAACTCATGCTCCTCTTGCTATATGCTTCCTCTACACGACTTATTGACTGTTTAGTCTTCATTTCAGGATATATAACATATAAAGAATAATAAAATAATTCTATCGCAGATTATTTACTCAAAGTCCTCAAATCTAAGAAACTACCCTTGTTGCATACTCAAAAATCATATTTTAAAAACAACAACGCTCAACCGCTAACCCACAAACCACAAACACAAAACACAACTATAATCTATAATCTGTGACCAGTGTTGCCACGTGGAGTCGACGATATTTCGGTAGAATTGTTTGGAATTTTTTCGGTAGTTTGAATACCGAAGAGTAAATGAAGGCATTCACTTAAAACATATTTATTTAACTCAAACTATACTCTAAAAGAGAAGACAAAACAAAAATAAACAGTTTATATCTCACTTTAGCTAACTAAAAATAAAATATTCTTAATAATAAACAGAAAAGGTGTATAAAAAAATGTGTAAGCTATATTGGATAATAATTCTTCCGATTCATTTTTAACAGTCATATTATATAGCAAGAATGGCAAATTATGCTCGGCCAAAAATGGGCTCAAACGAATTTCTCCTGGAAATAATAAAATAATCTATAATAATCTCAAATCTTCTCAAATAGTTTGATTAATTTTACCTTCTTTAATATCATTTTCTAATTTCTTTGATGTACCTGCAACTGCAAGTGACAACAGTTTTGGCTGTTTAGTTATGGTTTGCACTTTTTTATGAAATTGCCCATTTGCGTGTTTTATAAGTGCATCTCTTCCACTTTTGATATTAATATCTTTATCACAGACCATGTTGGGCACACGCATGCGAAAAAAAAATAACTGCATGACAGGCAATACTTATACTTTTTTTATATATCGAAGCAGCCGCGCAGGCAGAAGCCTAAATGCCGGAACACCGCGGCTGCTATGATGATCCCAAAGAAATTTTGTTAATACGATTTTTGAACTGCCTAAGGTTAGTAGAACTGGGAAAAGGGAGCGGTCGTATCGGCCAGTTCTGGATGTACGAAGTTCGACACGGTTAGGATGGGACGCCAAAGTCAGGCGGGTCTGTCTGACAGGCACATCGCGCGGCGGCATCATAAGAGCGAGCTCTGAGGAGCAAAGCCCGTTGGTGTAGCGGTAGAAAAGGGCTGGATCGCCGACGGCCCGCCGGTGCGAAAGAGTCCCGAGACTGTCTGTTAGAGAATAGTCATCGATCAGTCGGACCGTCCTCCTCTGGACAGCATAGAGCATGTATAATGTAGTCGGGGCTACAGCACCCCAAACGTGTGAGCAATAATCGAGGCTAGGCCTCATCTGGGCATTGTATAGAGTAAGAAGGTCATGCGGAGAAGGGTACTTTTTAGCCCTAAACAAATAGCCTAGCTTTTTCCCAGCAGCTGCAGCTATTGACGAGATGTGTTCGTGCCAAATCAGGTCCTCGGTGATCTGGACTCCGACTAGCCGGAATGAATGGCTCTTTGACAGAACTCGGCCATCCATCGAAACCGGATGAGCGCTAGGACGCTTTTTGTTCGTCAAAGCACAGTACTGTGATTGTTGCGTCCCCAAGCAGTGATAGCCTCCAGGTCTCTTGTCAGAGAGGAAGTCGTCGATAGTCTTCTGTTTTCCAGCTCAGAGGCAGAGATCGACCGAATTCGGAATTACTAAGTACACGAAGTCATACAAATCGTACAATACAGGCATAGACTTGCTACAAGCCGCTAGGCCTAGGCGATGTAGCCAAATCATCGAGTGTCTTCGGTGATTCCCCAGATGCGGAGAATCAGCGTATGTGGCACACCAATGTCAGGCAAAGAGAATACAAATATTTCTGGTCTAGTACGAATAATAATAGTACTTTTGTCATTCTTTTTATCGCTATGCATCAGAAATATTTCTCTTATATAGGGAACCAAAATTATTCCTTTGAAAAAAAGTCCACTTTTCGGTAGATGTTGCTTTAAAATCGGTAGTTTGGTGGACTAGGACCAAAATCGGTAGATCTACCGAAAAATCGGTAGACTTGGTAACACTGTCTGTGACATAAGTTACACTGGACTCAGTCACTTGTGTTGTGCCTTTTGCCATCTATTGGTGAAAAACATAAGTATATATTTGTTATACAGATATCAACATTCACTCTCAAATTACAGATGCCTGCAACTCAACAACGCTGGCAGCATCTACTGGAGAAAAACCGACAGTATATCTTTTGGCTAGATTTCTCTCTTTGATTCCTTTTAGTTAAATAAAAAATATTTAGATGTCATCAGATGGTAACTTAAGATTGTCTTATCTCGATACGAAACGAGTCGGAAGAGATAATCCAGTCGGCAAAGACTTGAGTATTTTAAAAATCAATTTATCTGTCACACCCAAAATTAAGGGAATCTTTCGCGCAATTAAGAATTCTAAAAGGTTATAATTTTTTTAAAACATCATGGTTCCGTTACAGTAATTATAAAAGATGTAATGTTTGAAGCTGCGTTATAAGTTCTTGTAATTTCCTACTATATGTACAATCGAGAAGGCATTGAAATAAGTTTGCATTCAAAAGTGTATTTAGGAGTGCAATTCCGAAATCATCCCGAATCTTTGTCCCATTTGTACAGATTTTTCACTTCTTGTGATTTTTTAATAATCACCTAGGTCTAGGGATTTGAGAATGGATAATGAAAAAAGTATTTACTAAATGCGTGAGAATTAGATTGACTCTAATAGTTTAAGCGTAATCTATACACCGCACCCATAAAAATATGTCACGATAAAATAATAAAGGTTTCCGTTTTGAACTGTTCTTAAAACTGTGAAACGTCAAAATCTATCACGGACTGGAACGTTGAAAACGGAGATTTTTCAACTTTTTCGTTTGCCCGTTGGTCCGCAGTTAATCAATTTTTGAAAGATATTCAAAACTCGGACCTCGGTAAGAGGTAGGGTTATGGGGTAAAGTTGTGCATTTAGGTAACTATGAAAGTGGCACTAAGTTTTGTAATTCGGATTATTTTCAGAATGTCAGAATTAAAGCGAATTTTCCCGAAATCGTATTTTCTCCTGACTCTTTTTGAAATGGGATTTCATCAATTCTGACAGAGATAATAATAGTAATAAAGCATATATTGCCCAACAGTATACACCATTTACAGAGCAATGGGTAATAAATTCAATTAATATACTAAATTTACCTAAAACTAACTTTAGCGAAACTACAAATTGGCACGACACTGGGTTCATATTTCTGAAAAACTGCAACACCACTGAGCAACACAAATTAAAAGTTAGGCGAAATGGGTGGGTACATTTAAGGATCATAAAATTCGGAAAAATACATGTGTACATATAAAAACAGTAAAGTCATCATTTATAAAAGCATCGCAGAACACAAAATGGTACGTACTCCTGATATCCAAATATTGCCAGAATATATAACTTAATATTTATAAATATTCCTCCCGTAGCGATGTGTCACTGATGACACCACCACAGACCAGTTGGAATCTGTTACCGATTGCACAGTCGGCAGTGGCCTCCACGACGACGCAGCATCGCTCCGTGCACGCATTGCCAAGATATTTATGAGCACATTATACATCGGACTTTTATCATTTAATTTTCCAGTTGTTACAGGGATCAGAAACTTCTGAGTGATAAAAACGTCTGACTAATACAACATTTACAACCTCCTACCCCTGTTATGTTAAAGTAGGTTATGTTGTTTTCGAGTAATATTTTGGTCTTTGCTCTTCCTGTCTTAAGGTATTCTACTCATAACTGTTTTTTTTTCAAAACAAAAACTACCCACTAAAATTATTATTAAGGTATCACTCAAAACCATGAAATAAAATGAAAATAAAAATAATCAGTGAAATAACCTAACTTCGCAAAATCATATAAATTTGTTGTCACTATGTTTCTGACTCGTGATTTTATCATCGACTTACGTCCATTGATTACTTCAGTTCAATTTATGGTATGACGTAACAGTCATCTTTCGTGATTTTGACTATATGTTTCATCATATGGCTAACTAAATACCCCTTATATGCAGTATTATATTCACAATGGGTACATTTATGTATCTTACGAGATACAGAAGCAGCAACATCAGGATGTTTCCGCAAAATGTGATCGTCTAATGATAGTGTAGTTGTAAATGACTTATCACACTTTGTACACTTGAGCTTAGCTCCAGTATGTTTCATCATATGACTAGCCAAGAAGTGTGGAAATGTAGTTTTATATTCACAATGTGTACATTTATGTATCTTACAAGATACAGAAGCAGCAACATCAGGATGTTTCCGCAAAATGTGATGATCTAATGATTTTATGATTGTAAATGACTTATCACACTTTGTACACTTGAGCTTAGCTCCGGTATGTTTCATCATATGACTAGCTAAGCAGTGTGGAAATGTAGTTTTATATTCACAATGTGTACATTTATGTATCTTTCGAGATACAGAAGCAGCAACATCAGGATGTTTCCGCAAAATGTGATCGTCTAATGATAGTGTGGCTGTAAATGACTTATCACACTTTGTACACTTGAGCTTAGCTCCGGTATGTTTCATCATATGTCTAACTAAATTCCCCTTATATGTAGTTTTATATTCACAATGGGTACATCTATGTATCTTACTAGATACAGAAGTAGTAAACTCAGGATGTTTCCGCAAAATGTGATCGTCTAATGTTCGTATGGTTGTAAATGACGCCTCACACTTTGTACACTTGAGCTTAGCTCCAGTATGTTTGATCATATGACTAGCTAAGCAGTGTGGAAATGTAGTTTTATATTCACAATGTGTACATTCACGTATTTTACTGGATTTACTGGACACGGGTGCGGCAAATTCAGGATGTCTCTGTAAAATGTGGTTTTCTAAGCGTCGTTTAGTAATAAATGAAGCATCACAGTTTGTACACTTGAATGTCGTTTGGATATAATGTTTTGCCAGGTGCTTTATAAAACTACTCCTAGCTATTTGTTTATGTGCACAATGCATACATTCATATATCGTATAGTTACAAATATAGCAGCTGAACGACTGTTTTCCTTCTTCGATCGGTGAATTTCGTTGTTCCTTTTCCCGCTTTTTCTTTATTTGTGCGCTGAAAAAAAGTTTCATTATAGTTCACGTTTTTTAATTGATAAATAGAATCGATTCAGTTATAGCGAATCAGAGTCTGAAGTTCGCATTAAACGCTATTTCTATAAATAATATTAGTTTAAACAGGTTTCGGAGGGTGTTTTCAAAGTTGAGCTATTTATTTTAACAGCTTGTAGAACTCGTCAAAAGAAGTTGATGTACCAAAAATCCCCTATATAAAAGTTGCGTAATAGAGTTAGTTTGTATTATTAAAAATTATTTAAGGAAATCATTATCAAGTTAAATGGATACCATTCGAAAATAAAATCTTGGTTTCCACGAATTAAATCACAAGCATTTTCAAAGTGCACTGTTGAAGTTCTTCCAGAGTATTTACTGCTCCATCATGATACACCAACTCTTTCAAATAGCCCCACAGAAAAAAATTGCAAGGCGTTAAATCCGGGGAGTGAGCAGGCCGAGAAATGGGCCGATTGCGCCCTATCCATCTATTCGGAAACTCATTATTTAGATGTTCATGAGCATCTCGTCTAAAATGTCGTGAGGCGAAATCATGTAGGAACCACATAATATTCTCTCTCACATTTAAAAAAACACTTAATAATTGTGGCAGATTGTGTGGAAGAAAATCTAAATAAATTTCACCAGTCGGTCGAGGTGGAAAAAAGTAGGGTCCAATAAGCATTCCATTTACCTCACCAGCCCAAACATTTAATGAAAATCTATGTTAAAAATGAGTTATTTTTAAAGCATTCGGATTTTCTACTGTCCACACATGATTTGGAGATTGTGCACTCCGTTCGTATAAATGTGGCCTCGTCTGTACACAAAATTATTTTTGTAAAATCTTCATTACTGCCAAACTGTTCTAAAAGCCACTGGCATTCTTCCAGGATGATCTTCAGGTTGTAACGCTTTTCCCCGTTGATAGTGATAAGGATAACACTGTTCTTGTCGTATTGCCTTCCACACTTTGCTATGGGAAATTTCAACTTGAGCTGCTATGGCTCTAGGACTCATTGTTGGGTCGTCTTCGACAATTTCTAAAAGGTCTTTCTCAATTTGTAACATTTCAGGTTGAGCTGGTTTCCCAACGTGACCTCCTCGTTTTTTCTTTTAAATATCCTGTGTCACAAAGTCTAATAACTGAATTTACAAACATCCGTGGGGCCGGATGATTTCTTAAAGGATACCTTTCCGTATACGACCTGGATACTGCAGCTGCATTTTGTTGGCACTTTTCGTATATGTTAGTAATTATGTCCTCTTGATCATTGTTTTCGTAAACATGGGCCATTTTTCGAACAAAATAAGCAGACAAATGAAAGTATATGTACTATTAAAAGACTGATACAACAGATCGAACCAAAGACTCGTACTCGTACAGATAAAGTTTTCATGATTGTCGCTTTATATTCACATGGAATCAGGCAACCACAAAAAAGTTTTCAAGAGCAACTTGCCAGAGAGCTGCCCAAAAACTTGGATTTAAAACTTACAAGGTAGGGTTACATATTTTTTTATTATTTGTTTTAATACAGTATTTCTTGGCAAAAGAGAAGCCCTTATTGATAAAGATTCAGACGAAAACCAGACTAGCGTGGCCTAAAAAATACTACAAATGATGGTCTCCAAACCGATGGAACTCCATTTTTTAGATGTAGTGATGAAGCCAGAAATTTGCATTTTGTGGAAGGTATTATGAATACTG